AAATTTATTATTTCAGTCAAATAACTATCTACTCAACGTGTTTATTTGTTGTCAATAATGACATGTATTGCCTATTTCCATTCTAAATATCGTGAGAACGGTTGCTCGTAGCGATTTTTACCAAGAGACATTAAATACGTATACGCAAATACGGAAATGCATATTTTGCAGTCCATACCTGTATAAAACTTATACAGGTATGGACAAAAAGTTATTACTTTTCAAAACAGTTAAAACACATGTAGATGGCACCCCCTACAAATATGAGTCATATTGACATCAAAATCAAATTTCTCATGTCAAAAAACTCCTTAGGCACTAATTTTCATCCAAATATTGACATTATTTCAGAAATTATTTGGAAGAAATCGAAATAAAAATGGGACTTCTACACCCTGTATCTCTGAAACTAGGTTATTATATATACTATACTATTTATGTTAGGACATACGAACTTTTTTACTTATTTTTATCTGCAGAATATGCTGCCGAATTTCGGGAATACAGTTCGGACCACCCTGTATAATATTACTATACGAATTAAAAATATCATTAAGTAAACTTTAACCAGTCTGATTTATGTCGTAAATTTCCGAACACAGATATTTTTTAAATGTATTTACTTCTAAGCAGTAGAATAGTTATTTGTTTAGGCATGAAAGGATGTATTTAGGTCCTCTCCCTCACAATTAGAGTTTATTGACCTCTCGTAGACCTAAGGGCAATAATCACAAACAAAAACTGTCAAGATTTTATCAAGCCTAAACATGTGGCTTTATCTAGCTTTTACCTCCCTATATGATAAATTAAGTTTTAAAAATTCTGTTTTAAGGGCTTCATAATGACGTCATAACAGTTCAACTTATAATAGCATTTTGTTGGTTGTAGGCGGCATCTTGAAAATTGCAAAAACCACCAAATTTTTGCACTTATTTTCCCGCATTTGAAAATTTATCACATCATGATAAAAATACTACAAATTCATTCAATTTTTGACACTCTGCAATTTCGTGATTTTCAAAATAGCAAAATCGAGAAACACGTTATTCTTAATTTCAAAAATCGCTGTAGATCCAAACACTTTCATATGATGAGAAGTTTAGGACAAGTCACCTTAACCAGATATTTTTATTGCTATAACTCAAAAACTAACGGAGATACAAAATAAAGTCAAGAGATCGATTTTGTAGAGCATTAAACTTAGTCAGCCAACTATTGAGTTACATGTGAGCGAAGCTTCATAAGAATACACTGGTTACAAATCTGCAACTAAATAATCGGCACACTAAAAATTTCCTAAGCGCATAGCTTTAAATCTGAAAAATTAAATCTTTTACTAAAGAATGACTAAGAAATTCGTTTTGAAAATATTAAACACTTTTAGATTTATAATTTTTACATCATTTCAATGTCCTACCCACTATCTAAATTTTACTAGAGACGATACTTCATACAGTATATTAGAAATTTATTATCTTTTGAATCATATCATGATCATGAGTATACATATACCGTGCTGGCAATTCTTACTTTTATTATTTCTAATTCTTACTTCAATTGAGCGTCCGGATTGCACAACGACCTTAGCGCGTGGCCGCGTGCAGCCCAGTATACAAGCGAGACAGCGACGCGCCGATTTAACAAAATAAATAATTTTAAACCTGCCGTCATTTCGTTAATAATTATCGTATCGTGTTGATTTTTGCATAGAAATACTCATGAGTCTTTAGTACATCCGACAAGCCTAAATAACTGGATTATTTTTTATATTTTCGATTTGTTTACATTGCCCGAGCATAATATAACTTTGAGATAAAAATCTCTGTTATAAATTTTAAAACTGACAGATATGAATACTATCATTTAATTAGTTATACATTTAGTTACAACATATTCAAAATTTAGGTCTATCGGTTTATGCTAGCAGTAATATCTAACGAGTATAAATAAAAAAATGGTAAGTACAACGCTCGCCGTTTTTAGCCCACGTTCGGCTTTGGTTTTAGTTTTAGCACTATTTTTACAGAAAATAAATTCTGAACTTTGATCAAATGACAAGAACATTATCATTGCCGATATCTCCTGGTTATAATGTAGTTCTTTTTTCAAAATATTGCATTGTTTTGGCTTAAAAAAATTGAATTATGCGGCTTTTTTGCGAGAGCTACTGACGCTGCGTTAAAAAAGAGATGGCTATGTACGTCAATCGAAAGACAGTATTTGAGATAGTCTTTTCTTTACACGGAGTATAGAAAATTTTTGCCACAGCTTGTTTACTACCAGTAGTATTTGTGCGTTTTTTTTAATTATTTATTATTAAATAGAGGGAAATGCGACCGAAAAGAAAGGTCAAAAGTTAGTAGAAATCCGGATAAATGGAAGTGCAATATTTCCAAAAAATGTCGTGACGATGTAAAATTACTATTTATCTAATGATTTTATCTATAAAATGTTATCTATAAAATCATTAGATATGTTTCTGAGCATCTGAAGTGGAATTATAAGAATATCGTTAGGGTATCCATTTTTTTATAACGATAAAATGTCAGTAATCGCGATAATTTAAAAACTCAACTTCTTAACACATAACACGCGATAAATCAAGAACCACTTTAGATATTGAAACGTTTTTTTTATTTAAAGTTCGAATCTTTTACAAGATATTTTAAATGAGAACAATTCGATACGCTTGTTTTTTTTTCACATACCCTCTGCGAAGAAAATATAACCGAAATATTAAGAAAGTTTTTGAAACAAACTATAATCGATTATTTCTAATAGATTTCGAGATATCGATTTTTGAATTTCAGAGTTCTAATAGTGTGACCACTGTCGAACATCAACTCAATTTCACTTATTTTTAACAAAAGTGCAAGTGTTACTAACTTGCACTTAAAAATGTACAACCTATAGGGAAAATTACAACGACTCTAAATAAACATAAAAAGTATCACGAGACATAATTAAATCGTAAAGCTGAACGCATGATACTAGTAGTATAACATTCTCTAAAGTACTATAACATTCTCTAAAATTTTAAGTACTGATTGGGTCGACCGGTCGATTGCGACGAAATCTTCTGTATCACCTTCCACGTCTCTTAGCGATGTACACAGATTCTCGGTTTATTTCATACGTTTGGCAACGTTTTTACTGTTCTCTCTTTGTTCAGTACACTATAAACGGATTGTACTCTTCTTACATACGAAAATCTCGACCCAAAACTAAACTTTGCCAGCCCTTAGTATGAAGACTTGAAGTAGATAATGTTCTAAGTGCCAAAAAATTGTTTTTTCATGTTTTATTTGTAAAATGCACTAAGTTCCATAACCAACAACATAGTATTAAGGTCTAAGTTATTAAATATAAATAAAATAGCCCACGGCTATTAAATTGTATTGAAAAAAAATATCGGCCCGTACTTATACAAGGCTTATACGTTGGTTATACCATATATATTATAGTATAACAAAAAATGTTGTTTATCTCGACATAACGATTTTGGCACTTAGAACACTATTTACACTTGAAGTCTTCATATTACAATTATTATATACTTTCTTTTCTCGTGTAATATAACCTGGAATGGGTGTCCTCCAATGGTCTAAGACACTCCTCAGAAAAAGTTCCTACGACCGAGAAAAATCAAAGGTTTTCCTTGATTTAAGTAAAAACAATCTTCGGATAGTCACGGGGTTTCTAACAGGACACTGTCTCCTTAACGAACACCTCAGTAGGCTGAAGCTAAGAAACAACGGCGAATGCAGATTCTGTGGGGAAAATGGGAAACACCAGAACACCTTATCACTGAGTGCGCCGAGACGACCATTCGTGCCATGAACTTTGGTACGGCCGATGTCGAGAATGGAGAGCTGGCCTCTGTGGAGCCGTCTCAGATACTGGCTTTTGTTAAAGCCCTGAGACTGTATGATGAGTTAGAACTCGTTATAACTCAAGAAAGGGGAATACACAATAGAGATCTGTAAGGTCGCGGTGATTAACTCCCCTCCTAAACATTCTACATTCTAGTGTAATAAATTTACAATTGTTATTGTCTATCGTTTGATGATAGACAATAACAATAATTGTAATGTACGATTGTATGCATGATGAACTATTAATAGAAAAATGATTTTCAAACTCGATAAAACTAATTACAGGTAAAAGGAATTTTAACAATAACAAAGAGCCAAAAGAGTTGAAATTGTTTGGCAGATTATTTTTTCTAGTTAGGTATATAAACAACAAAGGTAAACAAAAATAAAATAAAAAAAGTTTTCCCCGAGCCGGTATTGAACTCGGGACTTCTAGCTTTATAGGCTGAACGTTTACGCGCCGCGCTATGAAGACTTGTTCGATTTATATTCAGTAATAGAATTTAAAGGAATAAATAAATATAAAACCTCTTTCAGTGCGCAGTAGTGAACGCAACGTCTATCGGCAGCCAGACGACCTGCCCGCTGTTCCAGAGAGCATAGTAAAATATATATCAAAGAGCCGGCTTTCTTAAAATACTTGGTTTCCATATCGAAGCTTTGTCGAAAAAATTGAGCTCTGCCTGTTTTGCATTAAGGTCTGTTTCTAAGGAGCTTAACTTATCAGTGGCTAGAACTGTTTATTATGCACTTTTTGAGTCGCACCTCAGGTATGCCCTTCCATTCTGGGGTACGTGTTGTGCGACTCACGCGTTTTTTTGTTTTTTTACTTTGTTTGTTAGTTTACCTTTGTCTACAAATTGAAAAATTTTTTGACAATAAAGGCATTTATTTATTTATTTTACTTATTTATTTAATAAGAGTAGATATCTAGACTAAATCCTGAACACAGAGTTCGCCGACTGCAATGGGCTCAAGAATACGGAACACCGCCCCAAAAATTTTGGAAGCGAACGAATCCAATAAATCAGAGTCATTAAATAGTGTAACTAACCCGACTTGTTTTATTTATATTTAGATATTTTTAATACATGAATTTCTACCCAAAATAAAAAATCTACTCACTGTTAATATTCTCCTTGTTGCTTAAGTTATCCTTGATACTGTCCTCCGAGGGGCTGCCGTTTTGAACTGGTACCCAATTGCTGCACTCCTGACAGCCTTCGGCTAATTTGACGGTGTTTTTGCAACAGTACCACCTTCTACCGTTCCAAGGTGCCGGATGAAAATAATATCTGATATTTTTATTATTCGCACATGCTAAAAGCAAAAAAGAAAACTTCAGTTAGTTATAAATTGGCATGTGAGTTTAGTGTTAGCTAATGATGGTAATTAGGCCAGTCAATCTGGAGGTTGAGGTGGAAAAAATTAGTAACCAACCGATCTCAAAGGGAATGTGTAGATAATGATCTCCTATTTAACCCCCCAAAAGTCCCATTCGGTCCCAGTGGGGGAAGTTTGAAAAAAAACCGCCATCTTGGATTTTTTCGTTTTTTTCAAATATCTCCGTTTGCATAACTTTTTTCGAAAAAGACTAAAGATATGTTTTTTGTAAAGATTTAAATTTAGAATATTTTACCTTCAATACTTTTTTTCAAAATAAATAGTAATAGCGTTAGAGCATTTTTTTACTATACGTTTTATAAATTTTCCAGTTTTTTTAAACCAATCAGCTATAATTTTTGTGTTAACAGTATAGTGTTAATGTAGATCAACCACAAGTATAAATTTAAGCATTAAAACAATTAAAAATAACGTTTAAATATTATTTATTAAATAAAATTATTGTTAAAAAAATTGTTATTAAATTAAATTATTAAATAAAATCTGCTATGACGTCATCCTGAGCGTCATTTTCGTCCTTAACTCATCCTTAACTAAAATACAAAAGTTTGTGCAACTGATTCCGTAGCACTGACCACACTTTGAGGAACATTTAAGACCCAGTTTTCTACAAGAGCAATTTTTAGAGCACTGACTTTCTTTGCAATGGCAAAAAAATAATTTTAGTAGGTCAGGAGGCGCCACATTTTCTGTTGATTGAATAGGTGTTAGATTGCCTTTTTGATCTTTCTTCCATCCATATTGTAAAGAATCTAACTTGTTACCAATCCATTCTTGAATCTTAAAAATATGACTTATAACATTTCCTATAATGGATATATCTTTACAGCTACCTGAAAGTATGTCCGGAGTAAATGGAGTTTTGCAGAGTTGTTGGAGGCAAATTAGCTAAATTAAAGGTAGTCTTAAGGGCTTGTCTTGATGTAATGCTATTTTATAGAGTGTATCTGAGAGGGTTAATATGTTTAATATAGCTTGGGCAGTGATACAGCTTTAAAAGATAATTTAATCCTGACTGAAACAAGTCATCTTTGTTAGGATTTTTTTTCTAAAAATACGTCGAGGTATTGACAAAGATCGTCATCTTTTTTCAGTACAGACAGGCACATTTTTGACTAGTTTCAGTCAGAATTAAATTATCTTTTAAAGCTATATCACTATCCAAGTTTAATTAAACATATTACACTCTTTACAATAGGATTACAACAAGACAAGCCCTTAAGACTACTCAGGAGATACTTTCAGGTAACTGTAAAGATATATCTATTATTATAGGAAATGTTATAAGTTGTATTTTTTAGACTGAAGAATGGATTGGTAACAAGTTAGATACTTTACAATATGGATGGAAGAAAGATCAAAAAGTCGATCTGACACCTATTTAATCAACGCCTCCTGACCTAATAAAATTATTTTTTTGCAATTGCCAAGAAAGTCAGTGCTCTAAAAATTGCTCTTGTAGAAAACTGGGTCTTAAATGTTCTTCAAAGTGTGGTCAGTGCTACGGAATCAGTTGCACAAACTTTTGTATTTTAGTTGAGAACGAAAATGACGCTCAGGATGACGTCATAGCAGATTTTATTTAATAACTTTAATTTAATAAGCATTTTTTTAACAATAACAATTGTATTTAATAAATAATTTTAAACGTTATTTTTAATTGTTTTAATGCTTAAATTTATACTTGGTTTATTTATATTAACACTATACTGTTAACGTAAAAATTACAGCTGATTGATGGAAAATTTATAAAACGTATAGTAAAAAATTGATCTATCTCTATTATTTATTTTGAAAAAAAAATGATTGAAAGTAAAATATTCTAAATTTAATTCTCTACAAAAAACATATCTTTAGTTTTTTCGAAAAAAGTTATGCAAACGGAGATATTTGAAAAAAACGAAAAAATTCAAGTTGGCGGCGGTTTTTTTCAAACTTCCCCCACTGGGACCGAATGGGACTTTTCAGGGGTTAAATAGGAGATCATTTTCTACACATTCCCGTTGAGATCAGTTGGTTACTAATTTTTTCCACCTTTACATATAATATTCGGCTACGTTTACTGGCCTAAATTATAATTTATTTATATTAAAAAAGGTCAAAAACAACTCAATACGAAAACAAATTAGCGAGTTTTGTCGAATTGTAACTTACGATGTTAGATGAACCGCCTAAACATAGGCATATTTCTTTACATTCAAAACATTCAATTGACATCGAAATCAAATTTCTTATATGAAAAAATTCCCAAACACCAATTTTCATCCAAATATCGGCATTATAGTCTAAGAAAATAGGCCTTCAAATACTAAGTTTGGTAAAAACTGAATTTACCAATACGAAGTTTGGTAAAAACTTGACTTTTTGAGATAAGTTACATTGAAAGATCTAAAAAAGAATTGTGAAAGATTTTTTTAAATTCACCCCCAAGAAGGGGTGAAATAGATTTTTCGAAATTTCGGAGAAACGGTATGGATTACAAAAAAAGAGTTCAAATAAAAGTTGTGAAGCGTCAAATTTTACATAAAAATGATCTCTTTACTTTTTTTGCTGCAATCAAAATTAACCGAGATAGGGAGGCTAGAAGCTAGAGGATGATACTAGAGATCATAAGCAGAAATCATAAGTTGCTGAAAAATTCATACATTTTTTTCAAATTCTTATAATTTTACCCCCGGGACAGAGTGAAAAATATAAATAAAAAAAGTTGTGATTGAAAAAAATGTTTCGATAAAGGCTGTCCCCTAGCTTCTAGCCTTTCCAACACTTCTACTCTATCTCGGTTAATATTGATTTGAGGAAAAAAAGTATAGAGATCATTTTTATGTAAAATTCGGCGCTCTACAACGTTTATTTGAATTTTTTTTTCTATTCCGTAGCGTTTCTCCGAAATTTTTAAAAAATCACTATTTATTTCACCCCTTCTCGCGGGTAAATTTTAAAAAAATCTTTTACAATTGGTTTTTAGATGTTTCAAAGTAACTTATATCAAAAATTCAAGTTTTTACCAAAACCTCATATTTGAAGGCCCATTTTCTTGGACTATTAGTTCAGAATAAAAATGAAACATCTACACCCTGTATCTCCGAAACGAAGCGTTTTATATACAGGGTGAGTTTCGATGTTCTCTATGGGTATTTCGGAAACTACTGGAGATCGGTTAAATTGGGAAAGAATTGCAGGATTGTGGAGTCATAAATATGCGCCTTTTGGATTTTTAAAACCTTCATGGCTTACTAGATATTTCGAAAAAAACAAATTTCGGATATTTTAAAAATTGTCCCTAATTCTATTATAATCTATTTTAGACAAAAAGTTTTTAGATAAAAGTTCTAGATAATCACATCCCTAATGAGTTTGTGTTCTCCGATTTATTCTAAAGCCTGTCATTTTTGACATATGATACAAACATGTGTTTTTTTTTAATGGAAACCATAGTTGGCCATGACTTCATAAAAAGCGCCAATTTTTAAGCTTTTCAGCGATATAAGCTATATGTTTTTTTTGGAAAAAATTACTGAGTTAGCTAATTCTTATCTTTGTTGACTAATTTCACTTAGTTGGTATGGTATTCTTATTCTGTTATGATTTATAACTTATAAAAAGACAGAATATTTTATTTAACAGTCCTTTACAGTTTACATTACACAAACTAAAATACTGTAATATAATACATACACTTTAAGCTATTTAGCAAATGTTCAAAAAAACTGCCATTGTTTTGAGTACATAAAATGCATCTTTTTAAAAGTGAATTACAAACTTTTCCCACAGAACGGCCGCGACCGGTCGGCTTTCATAAACTTCTCTCGTACCGCCTCTTCGAGCCTCTCTTAATTCATAAGTTCTTTTGTAAACCTTATTGTGAACCATACCGCATCAAAAAATCTAAACTGGATAGGTCAGATGATCGAGGAGGCCCATGCAATTGGTCCGCCTCTTCCTATCCCTGAGTTGGCATACTTTTGATATAAATAATTTTTAACATTATTTCTTTCATTATGAGGGGGAGTGTCATAATGAAAGTCATGTTAGAAGCACTCTATTGATGCGCGAGTACATAAATTCAATTTTTCTAAAAAACGTAAGTAACGTTCACCGGTCAACGTATCCTCGAAAATGTATGGCCAAGAAAAGTTGAACCAATAATCCTACACGCTTTTCTCCATTTGAAAAATTCATATTTATAATTTTTGTTTATCTTAATTTACAAAGTTTGGATGTGACAGTTTCACATTACTGAGAGCAACGACAATTAAATTTGTTCCCATGGCTAACTAAGTGAAATTGTTTAATAATGAAGAATTGGCTATACCTCAGTAATTTTTCGAAAGAAACATATTATAGTATATATTGCTGAAAAGCTTAAAAAATGGCGATTTTAATGAAGTCATGGCCAACTATGGTTTCCATTAAAAAAAACACATGTTTGTATCATATGTCAAAAATGACAGGCTTTAGAATAAATCGGAGAACACAAACTCATTAGGGATGTGATTATCTACAACTTTTATCTAAAAACTTTTTGTCTAAAATAGATTATAATGGAATCAGGGACAATTTTTAAAATAGCCGAAATTTGTTTTTTTCGAAATATCTAGTAAGCTATGAAGGTTTTAAAAATCCAAAAGGCGCATATTTATGACTCCACAATCCTGCAATTCTTTCCCAATTTAACCGATCTCCAGTAGTTTCCGAAATACCCATAGAGAACATCGAAACTCACCCTGTATATAAAACGCTTCGTTTCGGAGATACAGGGTGTAGATGTTTCATTTTTATTCTGAACTAATAGTCCAAGAAAATGGACCTTCAAATATGAAGTTTTGGTAAAAACTTGAATTTTTGATATAAGTTACTTTGAAACATCTAAAAACCAATCGTAAAAGATTTTTTTTTAAATTCACCCGCAAGAGGGGGTGAAATAAATAGTGATTTTTTAAAAATTTCGGAGAAACACTATGGAATAGTGATGGGTTGTTATTTAACTATCTGTTATTTTATAACAATTATTTAGAAATAACATAACGCAACCGTTACTACTTCTAAAAAATAACAGATATAAAATAACGACACGTAGAGATCGGCCGCACGTGAAACGAAAAACGAAGTCGGCGCTCTGCACCGCCCCGAAATTCTATGCTGCTCGAAACAATTCCAAAAAACAACTAGTATGGATGGAAAACCTGTTATTTCGTCAACCATCGATACAGGCGGCGAGACAACGGACAACGGAGTGGGGAATGCGCTACGGCGAACGTAGCTGCTTCGGTCGATCCCGTCGACGGTCGTATTGCGCTTATAACAGCTTAAAAATAATAGGATATAAAAGAAGCAGGTTTTTTGAAACAGTTGCGGGCATAACGCCTGGCGGTCGAGATAACAGGAGTGGGAAAGGAAGGCTGCTGCATCGGTCGATTGTCGATGGAAGTTCGAAACAGGTTGGAGAATAACGCATCAGTTGTTTTAGATATATTGTTTTTCAACCTGTTACGAGCATAACGGGCGGAGGTCGAGATATTATGGCGCTGTATGTTTCAGTACGTTATTAAGTTTCAATATTTAGGTATTTATTTATTCTGAAAAATTTTCAGAATAATATTTTAAGATTTTTTAAAAATGTATACAGGGTGTTTTGAAAAATCTGGTCATTGATTAATCACGATCCTGCTTAAAGCCCTTGACGTAAAAAGCTGATTTTTGGAAAACGGATTGACTTTAGGGTGTAGAGGTTCGATAAGAAGGGATTTTTCGAAACTCGAATTCAAAGGGGGTGAAACCACCCTCAAATATTAGAATATTTTTTATTTAAAAACCGGTGAGTTTTCCGGAAAAACTCTTAAACACGTATATTTTATTTCGTTGTTTTACATATTTTAAGATTTTTTAAAAATATATACAGGGTGTTTCATAAAATGTGACCATTGAGTAATCACGATTCTGCTTAAACTGCTTGACGTTTAAAGCTGATTTTTGGCAAACGGATTGACTGTGGGGTTGAGGTTCGATAAGGAGGGGTTTCTCGAATCTTAAATTCCAAGAGGGTGAAAACGCCCCTCAAATATTACAATATTTGTTATTTAAAAAACGGTTAGTCTTTCGGGAAAACGCTTGGACACGCATAATTTATTTTGTTTTTTTACATATTTTGAAATTTTTTAAAAAATAATACAGGGTGTTCCAAAAAGTTGAGTAATTGATTAACCACGATTCTGCTTAAACTGCTCGACGTTTAAAGCTTATTTTTGGCAAATGTGAGAAAATTTTATCCAGTTTGTATGTCAATAGAAATTCTTGCTTTGCTTTATCATCACCATTACAAATTATTAATTCGACGCGAACGAAGTCGCGGGTACACGCTAGTTTAAGTGTAAAATTAATTCGAACTCTAGTGTATAGTTGGTTTACTTATGAAGAATATACTACACATTTTCTTATATTGCTATTTTTTGACCACAAATGGTAAAATTATAACTAAGAGCTTCTTGCCCGTCGAGTGAGATGCACCCTGTACACTGCTACGCAATTCAGGATCTACGCCGATCGAGGGGCAAGGCGTAGGTAGATCGGAATGTATACGTATAGACGAGTGGCGGAATTTTGGCTTTTTTATATCGCAATTTGTAAACAGCGCTTATTTGTAAACAACGACCGTTTTTAGAGAGGTATTTTAGATAACAATCGATATTTAGAAATTTTTAGACACCCTGGAAATACTACCACCGAGCATGTCATTGTAGCAACTTGCAACTGCGTTAATACGCCTGGCGGCGACCGCTTCATACTCTTTCAGATATTTAGCAATAAAATAAAGAAACCTGTTATTTTTAAGCTGTTATTTTAAGCTGTTTTTTATAAATAACTATAACAGTTTCAACTGTTATCTAAAAATAACAGTTTTGCCCATCACTACTATGGAATAGAAAAAAAAGTTCAAATAAACGTTGTAGAGCGCCGAATTTTACATAAAAATGATCTCTATACTTTTTTTCCTCAAATCAATATTAACCGAGATAGAGTAGAAGTGTTAGAAAGGCTAGAAGCTAGGGGACAGCCTTTATCGAAACATTTTTTTCAATCACAACTTTTTTTATTTATATTTTTCACTCTTTCCCGGGGGTAAAATTATAAGAATTTGAAAAAAATGTATGAATTTTTCAGCAACTTATGATTTCTGCTTATGATCTCTACGAAAATTTAATTTCGTATTAATTTGTTTTCGTATTGAGATTGTTTTTGACGTTTTTTAATATAAATAAATTATAATTTAGGCCAGTAAACGTAGCCGAATATTATATGTAAAGGTGGAAAAAATTAGTAACCAACTGATCTCAACGGGAATGTGTAGAAAATGATCTCCTATTTAACCCCTGAAAAGTCCCATTCGGTCCCAGTGGTGGAAGTTTGAAAAAAACCACCGCCAACTTGAATTTTTTCGTTTTTTTCAAATATCTCCGTTTGCATAACTTTTTTCGAAAAAACTAAAGATATGTTTTTTGTAGAGAATTAAATTTGAAATATTTTACTTTCAATCATTTTTTTTTCAAAATAAATAATAGAGATAGATCAATTTTTTACTATACGTTTTATAAATTTTCAATTAGAAAAAAACGGAGGACACAGTCTCATTGAGGATGCGATTATCTACAACTTTTATCTGAAAACTTTTTGTCTAAAATAGATTATAATGGAATTAGGGACAATTTTTGTAATAGCCGAAATTTGTTTTTTTCGAAATATATCTAGTAAGCCATGAACTTTTTCTAGAATCTGAAAGGCGCATGTTTATGGCTCCACAAAACTGCAATTCTTTGCCTATTTAACCGACTCTGTATATCCAGTAGTTTCCGAGATTCCCATAGAGAACATCGTAGGAAACTCACCCTGTATTTATACGAATTTATTTTTATCTGCAGAATATGCCGCCGAAGTTTCGCGAATATAATTCGGAAACCCGATATAAAATGGTTTTGTTTTCATTACTCACCCTCTCTGATAGCTAATATCCAATCAAGCTTGTCTAGGGACCTGGGAGCGAACAGGAACAAAGTGTAATCGTCGTCCTGATGATATCCTACCAGAAATGGGTATAATTCTCCCTCGACTCCCACTTCCTCGTTGGAAAGGAAACTCTGCGCTGATTCGATAGTATGAACCCGTTCCAGTTCCACTCTACCCTTTTCCTTTCGTTTCTGGAAAAGAATAATAAGAATTATCAATTATCATCTTTTTTTAAATTGTAAACACTTTTTTATAATATGAAGAAGAATTCTACAAAAGTGGCTCACCCCTATAACTTCTTTCTTTTTTCAGATAAACAAACGAGATATGGTATATTAGTATATGACATAAACTTGGATTGATTGACGTATTCAATTGTTTTTGGTCACTTCCTGTTTTGATTTTTAAATGACACCGTCGGTATTTTTTCACTTTATTCGATAGAAAATGACACTCAGAATACAATGACATATCATATGTCAACTTTTGACATTTTCGCTTAAAAGTATCGTATTAAAAATCGTATTTTAAATTTCAATATAGAGTGCAACGGCTGTGTTAAGAACACTAATTTTTAATCAAGGAGCCTTGAAAAAATAGATTTGATCGTCTAATATTTTTCGTGTCTTGTCCTGAACGGTTAAAAGTTGCCCAAATCATATTTTTAATCATATCTCAGCTTTTTCAAATAAAACAAAGGTGGCTCATTAGCATATTTGGAAAAAGCATTTTTTACGAATAATTGGATACCACACACTTCGTATTTCAAGTCAAATTATCGTTATGAACCGCATCACAATTTCAAATACACCATAATATGAGTCATTCTATTCAGAATATCATTTTCTATGGAATAAAGTAAGAAAATACCGAATGTACCATTTAACCCTTAAGTACTCGCCTATGCTTTACAGACGTAAGTACCAAGTGCGCCAGGGTAAATAATTAGTATAGATTATTTATATTGTGCATTTTTATATTATATTAAAATAAATTAAATATAAATATTTAGGCACTGAATGAATATGTAATACGTTTATCTTAAAAAAAAGTTGCTTACATAAATTATATGAAGTTTTATTTCTAAATGCTTAATCGACAAAATTTAAACCTAGAGCCGTTAGAACAAAATTAATAATTTTGAAAACGTTCATTACACACATTTTTGGAATGGTCTGAAGTCTGAACAGATATATTTGCGGAAGAATAAAGGTTCCTTATTCTTCCGTATAATCTAGACAAGAATTAGAAATATTATAGTTAGCAGTTATGAGAAGGTATCTTTCACCACCACTGAGATGAATTCCGCGAGAAATGTTCAAAAACTGCCCCGTCTGTCCATTACAGAAGACGGTCGATATGTCGAACATCTGTATGTAGCAAAATCTCATGTCTTGGTTTGCTATTAATTTTTATTGTTATTAGATATAGTTTAAATGTGTTGATGCTGGTTACATATATTTTAAATTGTTATACAATTCTGCATCTCTCATAGCAAATATTATTTTCGTTTTAATTGATGCTCACAGCTAGAATTTTTTTGCATTACAGCCGGTGCCGTTCAAAGCCTACTTATTTAAAGCGAGCGAATTTTTATATACTCTATATCTCGAAGAGGAATCGAGCAAAATATCAAGTGTGTTATATATTTGAAAAGGTAATTTTAAATCCTTTTCAATAAATTAAAAATATACAGGGTGTCCCATATAAAAAATCATATTTTCTGTTGATAATTCTTAAATTATTAATTTTAAAAAAATTATACTTAAACCATTAAATTCTACGTGCTTTGGAAATGTTTTCATAAAAATACAAAATTTTCCATAGCAAAAAAGTTACAGCGATTTGTTAAAAATGCATATTTTTGAAAAACACCCGGTAACTCCGAAACGGTAACAGATATCGATATGCGGTTTTCACCATCATGTTTTTGACAAAAATTGAGCTTCAGACACCGATATTAGTTTTTGTCTATCTCCTATAGAAAAGGGTGTTTCCATTTAAAAGCGTCGAATTTGACCCACCCTGTACATAAATAAATTCATAATGTATTTCGCCGGATTTCAGAGCTCACTTGTGCTGAATTTCCAAAATCTTTTATGGAAACCCTAGCTGTCGTGTCATTATTTTCATTATATACCGAACAACGGAGTTAAAAGCGAAAAGAACGTATTTCTGACAGTTCGTTGTATGAATTAACGATGTGGTCATGGATATTTAATTTCAGGAGTACCTGTGGAAGAAAAAAAACAGAAAAATTTACACGCTAACTCAATTTTATCGTTACTATACCGCTGAAATGTTGAAATATGTGATATGCCTAGAATTTGATCGACATAGAACTTTGCGTTTTTTGCTAAATTTAAGCCATAGTTCAATTAAGTCGGAAATTCACGTCCACCAAATAATTGGTTTAACTAAATGTAATTTTGAAATGCCCGTTTCCGATTTTTTTTCAGTTGTAAACAATGAAAACCATTGATTGAGTTAGTTATCAATTGAAGGTTTTCAATTTCAGAGTTTGTTCCATCCCGGGAAATAACGAATAAATTAATAGTCGTTGCAAAAAACTCATCGCAACCTTATCAGAATATTTTGAACGGGAAAGCAGTGGTGATGGCCCTTTATGTCCCTAAGTGCTGTCAAGGAGGTGAGTTTTGTTGATGTAAATAATATCTGTTTATATATTTATAATTAATTTATTTTTGTTTCCTAATATATTTTGATTAAAAGAAAATATGTAAAAGTGGGCAACACTGTGCCGGTCAAGCTTAATCACGTGACTATAAGTTTATTTGGTATGAACCTTTGAATAAGAAGACTAAGGAAGGAGCATATCAAAAATCTTAGGTACACCGCGATGGGCCTCAAATATGGCCGACTTAGTCGCCGGTTTGCCAAATCTGGCCGGTTTATCAGTGTCGTTCTAATTTTATTTAAAAAATGTAAAACTATGATGTAGGCTAGACGTGGGGTAGACTCAATAATTTGTTGTTTTATTTTACGTTGTGAATAAATGTTGGTAGTTATTAAAATTGTTATAAAAATATATAATTCTAATAAAAATAGATAAGTTATAATAAGTATTTATTACCACAAACATCCGATACGCTACTGAAGCAGGTAAGTCAAATTAACGTATCTAAATTCTTTGACATCTAATCTAAGTAATAAATAAAAGCTAAAATGCAAGAAAAATATATAATTTAGTTAATTTAAGTGAATTTCATAAATGATCGGTTTACTACACGTATGTATATTATATAGTCACTTACTAGCGAAAAGTTGTTCCATTATTTCACTCAATTTTTGCCGAGATCTACCGCACGCTACACAACCAACTATTTTAGAGTCTTTTTCGATAAATCGCGATAGTGTCACTGTTAATTTAAGTTCTGCCACAATTTCCATCTAGATTTACTACCTTTATACAACTATCAGTAGTAGAATAAATAATAAATAACATAAAATAAGCTCCGTAAAGACTGACAAATCCACAAAATTTCAAATCAAATTCAAATGTGTCAAATGAATCGTCAAACAGAACTGTCAAGGATCCGCACCCTAGAGAGCTTTTATGGTGGCTTTTCCGCCCACCATGCATGAATACATGGATAGCATTATGCTCCTTCCTTAGTCTTCTTATTCAAAGGTATGAACTATACTCATTTATCCTCAGTAAAACCATATATCCAAATTAAAACACCGGTTGCCGGTTGTAAAATTTTTAATAAAACAATATAATAAAGGAATAAGTACAATTTAAAAGTAATCCCCAGATTAAAGACATCTTGCATGAAACAATGAGTAGGTTAGGCTCTTTCTTATTTTTACTTATCATGTATTATTTAATTATTATGGATTAATATAAATAATAGCCGTATTGAATTTTATGTGTAATTATAAGGGATTTCGTATAATTTTCAAGCTTTGAAAAATTTACGAACGAAATTATTGCACGGGGTGTTTTAAAGTTAAGGTAAAAAAACAACCCCTCGATGAACCCTGTATAATATGCCAAATACTAAAGTTTATAAAAAACTGAGTTTACGAATTAAAGGTGATATCACAGTGATATAATTATACCGGGTACGTCTCAAAAGTAGCTCACCCCTATAACTTTTTCTATTTTTTCAGATAAAACAACGATATTTGGTATGTCAGTATATAATAAATAATTATAATAATATATATAAATTAGGATTGATTGACGTATCCAATTGTTTCCGGTCACTTCCTGTTTCGCCGGAAATGACTACAACGTTTGATTTTTAAATGGCACCCTCGGTATTTTTTTTAATTTTATTCGATAGAAAATGACACTCTGAATAGAATGACGTATGACATGTCAACTTTTGATATTTTCACTAATTTCACTATGTATAGTTTATTTAATGTTGTAACATGCGGTTCGTAACGACATTTTGACTCGAAATACCAAGTGTGTGGTATCAAATTATTCGTAAAAAAATGCCTTTTCCAAATATGCCAATGAGCCACTCTCGTTCCATTTGAAAAAATTGAGATATGATTAAAAATACGATTTGGGTATCTTTTAAACGACCAGGACAAGATACGAGCAACATTAGATGATTAAATCTATTAGTTAGTGTTTTTAACACAGCCATGGCACTCAAAATTGAAATTTAAAATACGATTTTTTTAATGCAAGAATGTCAAAAGTAGACATATGATATGTCATTCTATTCAGAATGTCATTTTCTATCAACTAAAGTAAAAAAATACCGAGAGTGCCATTTAAAAATCAAAAGTTGTAGACGTTTCCGATGAAACATGAAGTGACTTTTGAAAACGTCAATCAATCCTAATTTATGTCATATACTAACATACCAAATCACGTTTTTATCTGATGAAATAAAAAAATTATAGGTGTGAGCTAATTTTGAGACGCACCCGGTATACAGTTTGTTAAAAAAATCATGAAAATAGGGCTAAAAATAAAAAAATATGTGTATACTTTAAATTTGACCAAAATTTTCTCGGTTGCGTGTAGTTTATGAAACTAAAAATATTCGAAAATATTAAAAATATTAATCCACATTATTAAAATGTAAAACAATACAACCTTAAAAGAATACAGCAGAAATTTAAGTAACAATTATAATTATTCTATTATTTATTTCAAATTTTAATAATAAATCCTCTCCTACTGTTTTCCATTATTATTTTC